CCTTGTACAATGGATAACAGAAGTCAGTGGCGAAGTGCAACTCCCAGGAGTTACTCCAGTGCTCTAACGCGGACAACTCAGGCTGAATACAGACTACCTTGTCTAGGGGCCGAACAATGCACCATTTTAACTTCATCAGCGAAATGGAATGGCTTCCCGAGTATTATTTCATCGAGGAGAGCGTTGAAGTCCAGTAAGAATAACCTCGGGCCCAATAGGCTGCCTTAGATCACTTCAATAGTTATGTATCTTCGCATGTACAGGGTACCAAACCTGGCTACTTGCTTTCCACGCTTGAGGTAGGAAGTTAACCACTCTAAAAGCGAATCTGTTCTGGTGTACAGATGAGCAGTATTGTCTACATTGGGGTTCCATTCCTGTTAGTCACTCGTGCAAATCGATCACGATCAGTGCTTTGCAGACGGCAGCATTTGTAGCATCGTTAGTAAGGTTTAAAGGGCAATAGTTCACATGACGCCGTCACAAAATGTTGGGCCCGGTCGAATCGCATGATTAACATGCCTTGACATTTGGCATTCGATAGTAACTGTTTGCCTGGTGATAACTCCGTGTTCGTACAAATGAGCTCGGACGATTGAACCTGCTGCGGTTGTTCCGGACACTCAGACATGTTCCACACATGCAGTGCGAGTGTTCACCACGACGCACCCCATTTGCTCACACAACCTCCATGGTGGAGGTGGTGTGATAAACATCCACCACCAGATCGCAGCAAATAAAGTCGCGGAACTCCCGTTCAATAAGCACTCCCCATCCGCATCGCCCTGGCTTGGCGTCCTAGTTCAGCAAATGCCAAGATTAAGTCCAGCTGGAAAAGGAACGATAGGTGAATCACGTCAGTATTCCTCCTTGAGCTGACCGTTGAGCCAGTAGTTGATGAGGTGCTTCGGGGTCTTGATGGATTCCAGATTCACATTCCATTCTAACGATTACTGCCCAGTTCGCTGCTGTGCCAGTTCGTTTGAAGTAAGCAACGGACAAAGGGAAGCTAGAGCATATCGAAGGTCATTAGAACAAACACAATACCAAGGTTTGAGAGATGTAAAGAAACATGGGAGTATGATGATGGAAGTTTGCCAGGAGAAAGGAAATGTTGCGTGTTGCTATCTCTACTCACAGATTTCTAGTAACACGTACAGATATCGCGTTTCTGCATTCCATAACAAAGCGCAATAGCCGAATTTCCGCCCTAATCCCATCGCACATAGGGTTGCGGTGCTTCATTCGATGTCTTCGGAGGTTAGAATGTCTAGGAGGACTAATGAACCATGAGAACGCCGCGCAAAATTTCACAGTCGAAATTCGCTGATTTTAAGTTGAAATCTTCCCTAATCCATCGATAGTACATGGAATGCATTCGCAGTCTACATAACCGTTTATATAAGGCTTCTCCCCCCTAACCCCTCAATCCACGTAGTATCCACGCGTGTGACTCACTCCAACAACAATCGGTCCCGGGAGAGGCAGCCCTCACAAGCCTGGACGCAATATTCCAGATATAGCCGAACGAAAGCTGCGAACAGTTTCAAAAGTTGTCGACGTTCACGAATCTGTAGGTATATATATTCTTAAAAGCGAACGTTAGCCTCTGCTTGTGGTCTTGTTCCAGTTGTCGCCCGAGTGTACACTGGAAGAATCGATTACGCCTAGATCAACCTGGCCGAATGCGCACTGGAGTTCGACCCCACCGACTAAGTACCTCGAGGAGGAACAACCTGTACCAATTCGAAGAACCGAACACTTGCTGAATAATGGGCAGCAGCTATACAGATACACCAATCCAGCAGCCTATCCAAGACACGCTGAAAGGATCCGGCACTCCGAGGAACAATTACCCTATCCCAGATCTTTGGGTCGTCAGCAAATAATAGCGATGTTACCTCCAGTTCCGCAGATAGATCATCCAGATAGACGGAGAACAGCGGCAGTCCAAGCACTTCGACTTACGGTAAGCCAATGAAGACAGACTGCCTAAACAATGCGCTGTGGTTCACCCGTAACCACTGTTTCCCTTCCATGCAATTATGCAGCCAAACAGTGATAAAAGCGAGAAAACACATCGGAAGAGTTCAGCTTCCGCGATAGCCCCAGGTGCGACATCGTGTGAAATACCTTGGAAAAAATTCACCAATAGCATGACCAGTGCCTGGCCATTGTCCACTGCATCAGTCTAGCTCTCACGAGCTACAAAGTAATTGCTGAGACAAGTAAATCCCTTCAAGAATCCGTGCTGCGAACTGTTGCGTACCCGAAATCTATTCAGCTGACACTGAAACGAATAGCCCTAGAGTGCCCGAGTTGTTTGCATATGAACGTCTCAAACTAATTGGCGCATATCACAAGTTTTCAAGAATAGTGAATACTGAATACTGGTTTGAAGCAGCGAGTAGAGCTTTCTCTGTGTAGCTGCATCATTCGTCGCTCTTGGACATATATTCCTTATTTATCGCTACGCTCTTTATATTTTGTCTGCAAAGTGTTTGTCTAGGAGCTTTTTAAATTCGGACACTGAGTTACCCTCTACTATGTGCTGCGGCAGGTCGTTCCAGACATTCACCACTCTGCGTTCGAAACAGAGTTGGTGAGCGACCAGCTTCAACTTAGGTACGATAAGTTTATACCAGTGGCCTCGCGTGCAGTGTGGTGTGCGCAGATGAAGCAGTTATCTCAACATGGGGTAATCACTCAGATGTAATATCCGGTGCGTTCTGCTGAGGTCAACCCTCAGCCGACGATAAGCTAGGGTTTACAGCCCCAGTTTCTTACATCGGTCTCCGTATGGCAAAGCTCGTAAGTTTGGAGTCAGCCTGGAGGCTACATGCTGCACCCGTTCAAGCTTTTCTACCTCGCCCATGGTGATGGGAAATACGCGAGAGAGCAGTACTCTAGCATTGGTCGTATTATCGAGACGAAGAGGCGAGTAGCAATCTCTTCGGATCATGTGCTGAAGCTGAAGACAGAGCAAAATACAGGTTCCTCCCATACCAATGAATGAAAAGCTTTGAAAACGGGGCGCGTAATAGTATTATGTGAATGAGTTTGTGGATACTTACAAGGAGTCATCTTGCTCCAGGAATAATTCGTAGCCAACGATGAAAGCAAAGGCAGCTCTATATCATGCTCATTGTATTTATTAGCCTATCCCGTCTCCATACCTCGTGTGAATTCATCAGCAGTTTTGCAATTGTGTCAATGAAATTCAGCAGAAAAGTGTTAGAAAAGAGGTCCGATGAGAAATGATTGTTGTGGTTTCCGCTGACTGTACGGATAATCTGCTGCTACTGCACAAGCTGACAGACTTTCCAGCTTGGAAGACGCCTCAGGCGAAAAATGTACAATGAAAAATGGTATATTACGGAAAAGGTCCAAAGCTTGACAAGTCCCGTGAGATGGTTTGTGGGAATAAACTTAGTTTAATTACACAAACCTGAAAACACACCTGTAGACTCACCATATTATCCACGTTAACACACAGGTATATCCGTTTAACCCGATCTCCTGACGTTGGCGAGCACAATGTTTGTCTGTGCCTCGACGTCACTCAACGAACAGAAATCAGCTCAAGTGAAGTCAATGGTGTAAACCATCGTCGAATTCTATTTTTATAATGAGCAGCGTTGGCACTGAAATGGCAAAAGTTGAAGGAGCGTTCCACGGTTGACAAATTCGAAGCCGACTGTATTGCGTGGCGAGTTTCAATTTATGACCCATCAATTCTGTGTTGCAGCTAAGCTTCCGAAGGTGGCGGAAAGCTTGACCGGGGTTTCCAAAATCTGAAACTCCAAGATGAGATCACCACGTAGACGGCGATATCTTCCGCTGTACAATCACAGGATTTTCAGTCGCCTATGGTATTGCAGGCGGGACAAACCCTTCACAAATTTCGTTACCCGTCGCTGTGCCGTCTCCAGTGCTACCAAGTCCTGTTTTAACCAGGTTTGCCAAGCCTCGATCACGTACTCTACATGGGACCTCACATACGCATTGAGCATGTGGGGGAAGATGGCGGGATCGAACCATCCAAAAGCCCTTCGTAACAGACCAACATGTTGGTTCGCAGTTTTGGACGCCTTCAAAGACTGCGCCGAAGATCTGAAGTCGTCTTGGATTACCACCCCAAGGTCTAGCTCTTATGAGGTCGTGTTCAGCATATCGTCTCCCAGCTTATATGAGTACGTGGGCTTGTGGCGGACATGCACGGTTTTGCACTTGTCCGTGTTAAACCGAAGTAGTTTTACATTTGACCATTCAAAAGCGCACCCGGCAAGCAGTATAAGCGATTCAAATAATGGGGTCGAATCAATAGTTATTAAGGGCCTTTCGCTCACAGACAGGCTACAAGGTAGATCAGCCTCATTGTTAGCGTTCAAGTGAAGTGTCATCCTTAGTCCGCTTTCATTGATTGACGAATAAGCGTCGGCCTGTGTTATGGTCAAGTGATTCGGGCTGCAAGGAAAGGGCTGCCTGCCCCGTTAACTGAGAGAGAATACTAAAAATTTGCGCGAGATTCGGTGGCAAAGGTAATCGCGGAAAAGCCATGCAGTACAGGATTATGGACCGCGGACAAACGAAGACGGCAGCGGATAAATTTAGGGCGTATATCGGTAAGCAACTAGCGCAATAATAACAAAAAGCACAGTTTACCGGTCGCTCGTTTGGAGATCTAAGACAACCAATACGAATAGTTTTAGCATATTACAACCAGTTAATGGAATTGAGTATAGTACTTTGGCTTCAGCAGGCCTCAACGTACACGTTTACGGAAAACAAGTTAATAACAATGGTCAGCCATTGATATCGATGAACCACCGGAAATGGGCGTTCCAAATAAACTGCGTGCACCGTTTACAAGTAATTTTGAATCCAATGCCGATAGTCCCATGATCGTTACCTGCAGTCGGTAAACAAGCCTATTTGATATATAATCAAATTGGCGGTTGGCGCAGCAAGGTAGACAGCTGTTGGCTACACATTTCTAAATGAGTGCTATTTCCGCCCTGTTCATTGTTTTCTGTGCGGTTCTCATTCATATCGAAGCTGCGATCCCGGGTGAGTCCATTATGTAACAGTGCATGTTACTAAGTCATTCGGAAACCACCTAATTCGTTAAATGTTTCTCCTGCATCCAATTGCCCACTGAGCGCAGCCGTAGAATAGGGCGTGGGGCGGTCCGCCCCGGGCTGCATGTGACAGGAGGCGGCATTTTTAATACCGTCGATTGTTCGATACCGAACATAAAGGGCAAATTATCCGGATTAGTTGAGGGTTGAAGATTTCTCTGAAGATTACTCTGTATGACCACCAACACATTTAAGCCATGTGTCACGCCTGCGCAAACGTTCTTCACGGAACACTCCTTAATTGTCCTATGGTGGTCACTTCTACCAGAATTAACACAGTGTTCCAAACGATCACGGATTTCATCAAAAACTAAGGTGCCCGTTTTTCTGAGCCAATTGTGTGGCCTTCACGTGCCTATTCTGGCCTCATTTGTGGAGAATATTTTACTACCGCCCCAAGCGACAGAAGCAGTTGCTACACCACCGTCTATGAGTGTGGCCGAATGATCTATAAAATCACGTAAGTCGGCGCGCTTACTGCCAATGAAAGAACCATTCAACTGGCGGACTAGTTCACGGCGTCCGTTTCACAGATCAGTAACTAATTGCATGGTTGATCAAGTGACGAGGAAAATTAGCAATAGTGAGACACAATGGAACGGACGCAAAGCAGTGCGCACCGTATCGTAGTCCTTATGACAGACATTGAGGTATATTGTTCTACGCCTATTTCACCTAGACAACAGAGGGGTCACACTACAAATTGACACGCAACGAATCACTGACACAGTGGTTCCGTAAGTCGAAAGTTTGTTCCGAAAATATGCATGAATATCACCCAGTTAATCTCATTCCCGTGTAGACCCACACATCTCATGTATATATATAAAAATTAACTCACCATCCCTCACTCAATTTAAGCTATCCTTCATTTGTCAGATAATTGCAAACTTCCCGCGGATCCCGGACCATGCCGCGCGTTATTACCGCGTTTCCGATACGATCCAGACCAGCAAAGGTGCGTGAAATTCATTTACGGCGGATGTCGTGGGAACCGCAACAATTTCAACTCATTGTCGGATTGCCAAAACGAATGCGAAGGAAAGTAGTACTGCAAAATCGACCAAATGGTGCAAGAATTGCAACCGAAATCGTTGTGCCTTACTGTGGTTCATTGATTAACATCGCATAATACAACCATCGTGAAAGTCCCGATAATTTTGTTTACTTCCTGGGTATATTTCCCGTAGTGATAGTTGCATGCAAATTGCGTGGTGGATACGGAACCACCTACCCAGTGGCAGCTTTCTCAAGATTCTGCCGTCCAGTATTGAATATAAGCTGCATTCCTTCATCCTGCTGATTGCTCCTGCGATGTTTAAATGCTGCATATTTTTCGCGCTTTACTAATCACTTCCGAAACCCTACTGTGAGGGGAAACGTTGGTACGAACGTTTAGCTATTGGACCAGTTTCGTATGCGACATTGCCATGTTGAGTGCACAGTGTAGGTTTCTAAATCGATGAGTCCAGGTCACTTGCAAACTATGAACTAGCTATTGCGAGAACGTATTCATTATGTTACCCACTACTGAAAGGACTAATTCAGCGTAGGGAAACCCTCTTCTTTGCGTCTTCAAGTTAACTGAAGTCAAAATAGGCTTTAGACATACAAATTGGTGAAGCACAATTTTTACTTTATCACTGTGGCGACAGTGATTGATAGGACCACTTAATATACATATATATACATATGTAAATACATATATGAACAAAACTTTAAGGTTTCCCTTGAATCAGATGTGTTTATGTTACTCAATCAGCCGCATGCGCGAGGCATTTATGAATTTTTCCTAATGGGCAAGTAAACGGGATAAATGAAATAGGATTGTGTTGCGGTACGAAGTACCAAAGAATTACAACTTCAATGCTCAACGCAATGTGAGAGGCAGATGACATTTTCGAGAGCATTATGTAGCGGATGTGAGCCATCAGTTAAGGCATCAAAAATTACTTGAGAGAATCAAAATGCTTGTGAATATTGAACTCAAATAAGGAATACCTATGCAAAAGCCGTATATGGAAATAGGTTTAATCGATCGCACAATCAAAACAAAAATATCTGCAGTAGTCCAGGAAAGACTACGCGGAACAGTACAAACAAATGGTGTATTATAATTCGTTATTCCCAGTGCTTTGAACGTGATTCTTTCTGATTTCTGTACAATATTTTAACGAACTCGTTTGCTATCAATCTACCACCAGATTGCGAAGGGCAGGGCAGTATCCCCGCTGATTTCTGTTCCGGAGCCTTTCACATTTTACACCAACTGGCTTCCATATGACCTGCTCTAAGCAAGAGATTATTCGATCATTGTGTATGCAGTTTATTGGGCAACTTAAATTCCACAGAGTTTCTCGAGCATTAGAACTCATTAGACATTTCTCCTACATTAGCTTCAATGAAGACGCCGGTCGGTTTAAAAGGATTCCTAAGTTGGTTTACCATTGCATGCAGCAGGATAGTATCGTGCAAGTGCTTTTAAAGCTTTCTGCAAAGAAACGAATGAAGTCAAGTAGATTTCTGATCAATCCAGGTCATTTTACATATACTCGAATTTAGTAAGCGCGTTATTAAATGGAGCAAACAGATTGCCCGATTAATATCTCAATCCAGATGGATTAGTGAGTATTGGCAATTTTAATAATTTAGCGGTTGCTCAATCTTTCTGTGAAAACGCGATAAAGAGTGTAAATTTGCCTGACATTAGTAACGAGAAGTATATATGATCGAGGTTTAGGGAATGCTGTCGGGTAGGGAGAGATGATTCATCAACTCTCTATAGTAGTCAGATTTGAGTATATATAAGAATCCAAATACACATTACTAAAATAAAAGTCAGCCGTATTCGTGTTAAGACACTTCGAAGCGTTCACATTCTAATGCGTTCGGAAACAATAATGTCAGATGTATAGACGTACTGGCACTTGTTCTAGTGGACTACACCCATAGGCATAGTAGTCAGCACAAGCTTCGCAGCAAAGTCGCAATCAAACTGAAAGTACATGGCATTCGGTACGATGCTGCAGATACATGAAGCTCTGCGGCAGTCACTACATTTAATGTAAACAGCCATAAACACGGAAGCAATTCGAATACTTGGGAATCCTGAAAATGCACGCACGTAGATGCAGCTACTTAAAAGGAGAAACCACAACTCACATCGAAAATTCAAATACTGAACACAAGCAATGATTACTTAAAGTGTGACATCCTCTGAATGCATAGGAGTTAAACAACTCTAACCGTGCCTCTTCATTCATCATGGATACACAGGCGTCTCGTCCAGATCCGCAAGAAGAACAAACGAGCTACTTCGCAATATCTCTGCGACATTGGATGAGGTGCAGATCATTATCGCATCCATAAAACCATCAGCCATTTCGCGCCGTCACATAACCTTAGTCCCGATCCAATCGCATGATTAATATGCGTTGCCATTTGGCATTCGATCGTAAGTGTTTGTTTGGTGATAACCGTGTTAGCACAAATGAGCTCAGACGATTGAACATGCTGCGGTGGTTTCGGACAGTCAGACATGATCCCCACAGTCCTGCCGAGCGTTCACCACGCCACACCCAATTTGCTCACACACATCCGCCAAGGTGGAGGCGGTGTGATAAACACCCACCGCAGCATATGAAGCCGCTGAACTCCCGTACGTAAGGCACGCGGAAGAAACTTCGCTCGGTTCTTAACAAACATGTACAACCGCCGGCTGAATTCCGGATGCTTCGCATGTAAGTGGCAATAATCCATCATCAGTACAAACGTGTTCCGCGAAATAAATTGCCAAGCTACCATCTGAGGAACCACGTGTCTACGTCTACTAAAACCATGGGAAGATTAGTGCAAAGTGCATTGCCCAATCCAATGCACTCGACTGGATCCGATCAAATTACTCAAAACATGGCTTTAGTTCAAAATCTCCATGCGCTATCCTTCTTTCTACACTTGCGTTACAATTATAGTACGGCTATGATCGACAACTAAATTACTGTCATCATAATCATAGTGGACTTCTAAAATCTGTTCAACTGGTTTTTGTTATCAGTGTCGTAATCATCTGACATTGGCAAACCTATGGTAGGTTGGTTCTACCTATATTTCCTAAGAAACCCTACGTGCCGAAATGCCCTCCTCTCGGCCTCCTGGCAGTGGGCTTCAGTGGAATAAAATATTGACCGCTATGCAGTACAGGCGAGCCTCTGATTGTGGCACTATCACTCTTCACCTCACCAGTCATTGGATATCCGAAGGGACGATGAGCTTGTTGCAGTCCAGAGGAATACTCGTTGCTGTCTCTACGCACAATGTAACCGGGTGGACCATGAGGTGCGAAATAAAACGCATCTGTCGTGCTCACAAGGGAGGATGGTGGAGAATTAGGACGCAAGCAATTGAGGAGGCGAGGGCAAAATACAATACTTCCCCGTTTCTTCAACTAATCCGGACCACTAATACCAGGAAACTAAGTGTCAGGGAGACAATCAGAGACAGCGCAGATACTCTGATACACAATAAAGCCGCTGTAGGGTTAGACGGAGCAATTTCCTGTTCACTTCAGTTGGCACCGTGCTCCCGGAAATTTTCCTGCTCAGCCAATACGTGTTAAGCCATGGTGATTTAGTTTAGAGTCTACGTCGGAAGCGATGATCGGAAACACGATCACAGTTCTCACATGCTTTCGAGCTGCTGCTTCGGAATCTCTCGCACACACACTACATAAGGATGCTAGTGAGGCTCTATGCAAGCAGGTGTTCGTCTGGTACAGGCTGTAGAAACGTTTTATTCATCCTGCGGCAGATGCTAGAGCAATGCTACGCGTACTGGAGAACGACAATAGGTTAGTTCCTGGACATTCAGCATACTTGCAACCCAGCGAACTCAGTTCAGCTGCATCAGCAAAATCTCGAACAGCCTTATTGAACCTGTGACATCTGTGGTGTCAGAAAAGAGGTAGCTTCGGTCCGGATATGGATAGGAATTCAACGCGGACCAAGGGGATCCGACTCCATAGCATATGATGAATGAACTGCTATTTTGACGACAAGTGACTGAGAATAACTGTACAAACAATGGGTTCAAGAACAAATCGAGTTAAGTGACCGAAACAAGATTCAACTCACCGAAGTAACGTTTATATACGATAAAAATCTGTGCCATCATTCACGCCTATCGAGACCTGCGCTTTTACAGGAATATTACTTATTTAAACCTGGAAGCAAATTGTGATGTGGAATCGTTATCACAACCACATATCAGGCCGTGGAACTCATGAAACTACACACTTAACTTGTCAACATTTATCTTTCTGCAAATTGCAATCGAGCATTATCCACCACCCAAATTCCAAGCACTAGCGTGAAGGCATGTTCTTTCGGATGGCGCTAAACTCTGACGATGAGGCGGAAGCAGTGTTGCTTTCCACAGCTCGTCTTCAGAATCGTTCATATTTGCTTCGCATCTTTCCAGACATTCCATAGTACAATCGCGATTGGGCGAGACAGAGCTAAGTAGAGTTTCGCTTAAACAACCCAGACTGAGCGGACTTGGTCCGTAGTGTCCCACAGTCTTATGAGTCCGATGCCTGCGAAGCGGAAGCCCATGACCAGGAGCAGATGCGCTTTATTCGTGAGACCTTGCTCTTGGAGGATGTTGTGGGCACTTCGCTCTCAAGACTGCCAAGATCAGGAAGTAACAAGGGGTGAATTTCAAGCATAATTAAAGTTGGGATACTAACTAGGCAAATGACATTTAGGCTAGTGGAGCGATGGCAGTCGCTTCGGAACAGGCTACCCATCGAGCTCCGGTTGAGAGCAGCGAGCAAAATTTTTATTCGATTTAAAGCGCCACTCTAAAAGATAAAGGCAGATGGGAGCCCATCCGAACTTCACATTGACAGTAGGTCAGAAATTAGTGTTGAACTTCCTCTGCAATCCTGTATCCACTTGCATTGTTCAAACTGAGTTGTAAGAGGGGCTAATTACGTGGACAGCGAACACAGCTCCAAGCGACTCGACGCTAATACCACCGAAAAGTATCCAAC